TATAAGCCAGTGTTTATATTTGTGGCACCTTCATCTACTGCCTTCCTTCCTGACACCCTTATTCATAGATGAGCAAACATTTCACCATAATGACTACTTTTCTCTGATGTTTAGAACCCACTTACATTCTCATGATGTTAGAATTCAAACCCTTTCCCCCTGCCCCTCCAGAAAGAGATTCAAATAGTCCTGGCACAATCTTCAAACAGGCAGACCAGAGAGAACAAAGGTGGGTCACTCCCTTTTCAAGATTCACTGAGTCATTGGTTCTTGTTGCTGGTGGCTAGTAAGGTGATTTCTTCGTCATACTTAAGTGCCCGGATCTTTCATGTGGAGCTGCTTCCCTAGAAGTGGTCAGCGAAGGCTCATTACTCCATGAAGTATACTCCAGTCTAACCCCACTACACATACACACACACACACACACACACACACATGGTTTTGATTATTGTAAATCTATTTTGCTCTGGTCATCACAGGCGGAAGAAAAGGAACACCGTAGCAGTACCCTCATAACACAGTTCCTGGCTTTTAAATCCCCCAAGTTTCCTTGAAGGGAAAATGATGTGAATTGCTAGTAACTTTTCAGTGATCCAAGGACTTCTTGTTTGCTTTTATTAAGAATGAAATGTAACCTAAAGCAAAATCTAAATACTTATGATGGAAAAGGTACACAATATTTAAGACATTATAGATTCAAAGTATAGTACAGTGGTATGAATAGGAAATTCCCAAGGGAAATGTATATCTTTGGCTTCCTAATTGCATAAACGTCAATCTTATGTTTGCCAGTGGGGAACAAAGTAAACAAGGCATTTGGCACTTTCATTAAGATTGAAGTGGAAATTAACATGTTTTTTGGTTTGTTTTTTTTACTTTTCTTTTTAGAATATAAGCTCTTAAAGGACAAGGAGTGTTTTCCTTTTGTCTTTGTTTCTCTGACACCTTGAACACTGACTTGCTCATAGCAGGAACTGAATGGTTGTTGAATGAAATGGAATTATTTCTTCTGAATCCTTCTGTTCTGCCAAGGCCATTCCACTCTGCAAGGAGTCCATTCTAGATTAACATCTTGTACCATCTTTTTTAAGCTTTGAATTTTCATGCTTGCCTTGTGCAACACTTTTCTTTCAATGTACTTCAATCTTTTTGAAGATCTTATTTCTATCCCTATTGAGATCAAATGTTCCCAAGAAGCTTTTATTGAGTTTCTGAGCTACTACTCCAGAGATTTTTGCAATAGGTCCATTTTCTCTTCAGGGAAGAGGAGAGGGGAAACTTGGTACCTGTTACTGCTGTCTTGTTGGGCTTCCTTGTGCCTCATCCCTTTTGGCAATTTCTCCTTTTTTCCTTTAGCTTATAGAATTATTCATTTGTAAAATGATGATTGGACTAGATTAGACTCTGATGTCCTTCTAGCTCTTGAACTAGGATGCTAAGATTCTGTTGTATATGGACCTCTTTTCTTGTTTATTTCTTCAATCTCTTTCAATTTTCCTGCAAGGCTTTTTTTTTTCCCTGTGAGAGTTTTCCTCCCTCCTTTCTTCATTTTTATGTGTGTTGCTTGTCCACTGTATTTAGCACATTGGTTGCTCTTCTGAGGTGATGAGCCATCTTGCTGAAACCATTTTTTTAAAATTCAGAAATGTCACATACATGCCAGATACTCATGGAAAGAAAAAAAAATCTGAATAACTAATGTGAAAGGGGGCATCCTTCTTTAAAATTTCTTTGTTTTTGTTCTGTTTTGTTTTTAAGAATACTGTGGTATGGTGGAAAGAGTACTGGAAGGAGAAAGTTAGGAGGCCTGAACTGTAGTCCCAGCCTAGCCACTAACTAGGTGTATAACATTGGGTGGGTGGTTTAATCTTTCTGCAGTAGAGTAGTTTTTCCTAATTTGACTAATCCCTAATGTCCCTGTATACAATCATTTCTTGTATAGTACAGCAATAACAGTGCTTTTCTGAACCAAAGGTTTCTAAAAACCACAAGTTCTAAGACAAAATATACCATTCTCTGGGCTATCATTGATTCCTATTCCTCCATGTATAGTTCTAAAACCCCTCAGCCTTCAATTTAACAGGGGCAACCATGTTAAACATGCCATTTCTTCTTTTACTTTTTATTTTTTTACAAGGTTTTGGATGGCATAGCTTTTTGAGTGGTTTAAGCTTGTTACCTTAGCAACCTTCAGGGGGTTTAACTTTTTGCCTGTTAAGGAAAAAGAGAACAAAACAAGCCTTACCAAGTTAATTTTTCATTGTGAGTCTAATCATTGTAACAGGGATTTAAGTAAACCTATTTATAACAGGTTCAAATCTCTTCTCAGTCTATAGCTGAGTACTATTTGAAATTCTGTAAATCCAATTACTTCCTGCTTCTTTACATAAAATATTCATCATTTATATGTATATACATTTACATAAGAATATATGTTTATCTATTGTTTTTGGGAAGAGGGGGAAATGCTTAAAGGAACAGTGGCCAGTTGACAAATAATTGAATTATTATTTTAATTATGATTTTGCTTTGAAAGTTTTTCATTCCTCTCCATCCAGATTTTATTTATAATGAGGTTTTGATGTTTGTAATGCATTGGTTAAAATGAGGTTCCCACCACACCCCTGTAGGCCTCAGCAAAATGTAAAGCTATTTTAGTGAGGAAGAGTTTAGGTCATTTTAACTCTGTGTTTCTTCAGCACCACCTGGTGGACTAAATGTCTTCTGTTTATTTTTTTCCCTGGTTTTGGAAACAATTAATGTTAATCAAACTCTAAAACCAATTAAATGTATTTCCAAGGGCCACTGAATCTTGATCTTCTGTGTATCTACTGAAATTTCAACGGTCTTTTCAGCCAAATGGAGGATTGGCAAAGTTAGAGAATTTAACCTTCTATATTGTCATAATATTGTACTCCCCAGTGTTTAAAATAACAGCTACTTGCATTCATAGTTTTAATAGTATATAGCACAGATATGGTAAATATCTGTATATGTGATATTACATATTAATGATACAACAACATAATTCATATTACATATAATATTTCACTCTTTACATGGTTCGTTTTTCATTTTTCCCAGTGATTAATACAAGTCAAGGAATTTCTGTTTATTGGTAGCAAATTATGGTTGGAGTTTTAGAGTAAGAACTTTTGAAAGAAATTTTGGGAATTGTCTTCATGATATCATACATCTCAAATAGTATATTTATGTAATAAAATCCCTTATCCACCCTTATTATTTATTTTTAATTAAGACTAGATTTTTAAATCTAAACTATCCTAATGTTAGTGCCCTAAATAATATGGACATTTTTTCCCTTTCATTAATATTTCTATGGCGAATGAAAAGTGAGTTTATTATTGATTAAGTAAGTGGGCAGTTCTGTGGAAAGAACACTAGATTCAGTTGAGTCTTGGTTCTACATATGCAAATCACTTAAGCCTCAGTTTTCTCATCTGTTAAAATGGTCACATACACACACACAATATGTAAAAGTCTATAAATACTGTTTTAAGGTTTACAAATGTTAACCATTAATTTTAGCGGAGTGCTTTATAAATCTTAAAGCAGTGTTACAATTGGTGTTGAGAGGCCTCCTTGTGCAGAAAGTAGATAGAGTGGGGGGACTTTGAATGAGGAAACCTGGACTTGATTTTGCCTTAGCCATTTAATAGCTTTGCAACCACTGTCCCTTAACCTTTCTGATTCTCAGAGTGCCTACCTCACAGAGTTTGTGGGGCCTTAAGTAAGATAGCACATACAAAAGTATTTTGCAAGCTTTTTAGGTCAATTCTGGCTTATCATAAGGAAAAACTCAAAAGTCGGTATATCTTGGGAGATAGTGAGTTCCCTTCATTCGAAATCTTAAGCAGAGGCTCAGTAGTGAATTTGGAAATGCAAAGGGAATTCGTATTTCAGATAGGTGATTCTGGAGGTCCTTCCAACACTATGATAATAACTAAGTGAGCACAATAATGATCTGTGTTCATTATTCAATGGATTTGCAAATCCTGACTGTAGAAAAAGCTAACAAAATGAGCAGCATGCATTTTTTCAGTAAATTGTGTGGAAATTTTGTCTGACCATTACTTACATTAGTAAAGGCAAAGAGTATATCAGGTTACACACAGGATCTGCATTTCCAGTGTTAACTTTAGTAGAAAGAATGTTACTACTTTTAAAAAATTGCTATTAAAAAATAAAGCAAATACTTATAAATTTAAAAAATAGTATATAAAGTCAGTTGATATCACAGTGATTATGACTACCTCATTTTTTAAATTATAGTGGCTATTCTTGTTTTCAGAATTTGCTTATTGATGGACAAGGCCGTTTTCAAATGAGAAAGACAAACATTATTTAGGGTCAGTTTACAATTTAATGTATTAGTGAAGTCTAGCTGAAGGAGCCAGGCTATCCTCAGAATATACATTTCATATTCTTTTCCTTTAGAACAGTATTTGTAAATCTGCCACAGGGCAGATTTAGGCCCTGTGTATTTGTACTATGCCATGGAGAGGCAGTGTATGTAGTGGATAAAGAGCCAGTCTTGAAGCAAGGAAAACCAGGGTTCAAATTGAACCTCTGACACCTATTAGTGGTGTGATCTTGGTCAAGTCACTTAAGGCATCAATGCTCAAGACAATTCTGTAAGTTGCAGAGACATTGTCAGAGAAGTTGTCAACCTGCAATGGTAGAAGGAGTTTCTTCATCTGAGAGTTCTCATGCCAGTCAAATCACAGGTCCTATTCCTTCCCCTTTATTTGTGCTGTACAGTATCAAAAGGATTAATTGGTAAAGAAAAGCTATTAAGCTTTGAATAACAAATATGTTTAGTGCCTTGTAACACCATTTAGGATAAATAATTACAGTAATGGAAGACAACCAACTTTACAAATACATGCTTCTTTTTCATCTTGAACCAGACTTAATTAATTTACCTTGCTGCTTTAAGATAATACTTCAACATTCTTCTCTTTCTTTTTTCTCCACAGGCCTGGGATTGTATACTGTAAATTCAGTATATGGAGATACCATTGTTATGCCTTGCCGTCTGGAAGTACCTCAGACCCTTATGTTTGGAAAATGGAAATACGTAAGTGTAGCCTACCTTGAACTTGGTTAATTGTCTCCCATTTTCAAAATAAGATTCCTTCTGTGAGTAAAATGGGAGCTTCAAATTAACATAATTGCAATATTCTGCTGTCAAGTAAAATGTATGAAGGTAAAATTAGTCTTATAAATATGCCACAAGGATAATTCCTTGAGTCCTGCATGCCAGAATCTGTTCTTCACCCTCCTCCCCCCCAAATGCCTGACCTATTCCCCTAGATCATATTAGTCTGAAAAGACATCTTTATGTATTAGAAGTGGTGATATTCCTAGGACTTACCAAAGAAGCTTTGTGCCTTGCTGAAATGTTCAGGAGCCATATTTTAATGTCTCTCCAATATTCCCTGCTTTTCAACATACACTTTTCAAAGAAAGTCACTTCAAGCACAATTCAGTCTTGATACGTAGCTTCTGAACACACAGCAAAAATTGCAAGTGTAGAACAAATAAATTGGGACTTATTCATTAGATTTATGAATATCCAGGTGGGGATTTTTAGACATTTTTTACATTTGTGTCCCAAATTTCACCACCTATTACTCTCTTTTGTACTTTCTCTTACAGCCATTGTCCTCGCAGAAAATTGCTTTTTCTTCTACTAAAATTAAGGCCATGATTTTTTCAGTTTCCTATCTTCACACATATCTCAGTGAAATTTACTCTCTCCTCTTTTCTTCTCATCTAAGTGGAAGATCTGGCCCTACTATTTGCCACAGCCAAACTCTCCACCTGGCCTCTAGATTCAGCCTCCTATGTATCCTCCAAAACTTTGTTTCATCAATTATCCCGTCTCTCATGCATCTTCACTCTCTCCCTCTCCAATTGCTCTTTACCGTCTGCCTACAAATCTGCTTAATTCTTCTCAATCAACTATCAGGCCTGTAGCTGTAGCCTAGATGGAGTATAGTTATCTCCTATTCAGATATAAGCCCACTCCCCTTTTCCCTTTCACTACCAAACTTGATGAGAAAAAAGCCTACATGCAATGTTTTTTTCCATCCATTCCCATCTGGTTTCCATCCCCATTGTTCTATTGAAACTGCTCTTTCAAAGGTCACTGATGACTTCATAATCATTAAATCCAATGGCCTTTTCTCAGACCTCATTTTCCTTGACCTTTATGGAACATTTAACATTGCTGACCCTTGATGCTTTTTTTGTCCTTGGCTTTTGTCACACCACATTTTCCTAATGATGTATTTACCTCTGTGACTATTCCTTCCCTTAATCCTCTTCCTTATCCCTCAAGGTTTTCTCAGTTTCTCTTTCAATGTCATCCATTCTCACAACTTAAACTATCACCTCCACTCAGATGACTCCCAAATCTCTTTTACCACCCTCTCCACCTCTCTGCTGACCTGATTCAGATTTCTAATCACTGATTAGTCATCTTTACCTGGATTTCTTAGCAGGACTTCAAATGGAACATGACAAAGGAGAACTTGTCATCTTTCTCTTAAGCTCACTACTTCTTTCCTTGTCATCACCATTTACCCAGCCATTCATTCTTGAATAGCTGTTTGTTGACTTTTCCTTTGCCCTCCTTTTGCTACATACAATCAGCATCATGGTACAGTTGGGAAAGTATGGATTCTGGAATCAAGGGACCTGAATTCAGAAGTTTTAATGCTTACTATCCAGGTGACTTTGGACAAAGTATTTACTCTTCATGGGCCTCAGCTTCTGCATATGTAAAATGAGGATGTGTGTGTTTTTTGAAGTCCCTTCCAGCTCTAAATCTGTGATCCTATGAAATATATTCCCCTTCTCTCTTTTCCTGCCTTTCATTCCCATTGTTACAAGCCTAGTGCAGATTATCATTCCCACCCAACTGTGTCCGCATATCATCCTCCTAATTATTCTTTCTTTACCTCTGGACTCTTCCTCTGCCAATCCATCCTTCACACCACTGAGTGATTCATCTTTCTTGTGCCTAGCAGTAAGTATTTTTGGATAGAGTATGCTTATAAACTAGTAACAAGAAGGAAGATGGGGAAGATGAATTTTTGTTTGTGAGTGAGGGAAAGAGAATAATAACAGTCTCGCAAAGATAATGTTTCATTGTCCAGCTAGGTACACAATAGCAGTTCACTGGATCCCTTACTTAGATCTGGAAGGATCTTAGAGAAAGCCTAATTTGCTCTCTGACTAGTCACAGAAGACCAGAAGGGTTAAGCAGTTTGCCCAAGGTCACATAGCTAGTAAGTAGCAGATCCAGGATTCCAACAAAAGTCTTCTGACTCCAAATCCATTTTTCTTTCCATATGCATCACTGTCTATAAAGTAAGATAAGTAAAATATTTTTAAAATATTTTTGAATAATTAAGTAAAATATTTTCTCTTTAACAGTAGAAAATATTCTCACATCTCATATTTATAATGCCTTCCATAAAGAATAGTTAATTATATTATGAAATACTCAAAACAGTCATTTCCTGCCTATTTACATAAATAAGAATTGAATGGGGGGGATGGAGAGAGAGAGACAGAAAGAGAGACAGAGAGAGAGAGAAACAGAGAGAGAGAGAGAGAGAGAGAGAGAGAGAGAGAGGAGGGAGGGAGGGAGGGAGGGAGAGAGAGATTCCACATAGGGGCAAAGATACTTAGAGGAGAAATATTCCAGCCAATCTGGCAAAAATTTTATTATGGATTTAATTACCATTTTACTCTTAAAAAAAATCTGATTACAAACTCAAATAATCTCAGATTTAGAAGAGACCTCACTAGTCTTCTGTTTGCAATCCTCCAGAAGAGGAGATCCACTATCTCAAAAAATCTTATTCCGCTTTTAGACTAATTGTTAGGAATTTTTTTTTCCTCTTTTTTTTCTCTGAATCAAGCCTAAATCTAATTCTTTGTAACTTAAGCCACTGCTCTTAGTTTTTTCTGCCCTCGGATGCTGAGCAGGACAAATCTAATCTCTCTTCCATGTTAGAGTCCTCAGACATTTGATATCCTCCTTAAATCACTTACGCAGGCTAAACCTGCTCATTATCTTCAAGTGACCATTTGTGGTATGGTCTGCAGCCCTCTCATCATCCCATTTACCCCCTTCTGAATGGGCTTCAGCTTGTTTATGGCCTTCATGTAATGTGGCATCCAAAAGGGAACAAAGTTCCGCAGATGTGGTATGACCAGGATAGAGTACAGTAGAAATATCAATTCTCTTTCTGGACACTCTTCCTCTATTAATGCAGCAGTGTAACATTAGCTTTTATTTATTTTTTTGGCTACAAAGTGACACAGTTGACTTATATCAAGCTTATAGTCCACTAAAACCCTCAGACTTAAAAATATATATAGAAACTATTATGTACCATACCTCATTCTTTTTGTACTTGTGAGGTAGATTTTTTTTTAAATTCAACTATAAAACTTGACATTTATCCCTATAAAATTTAATCTTATTGGATTATGCACATTATTCTAATTGGCATTTTAAAAATCCTAACTCTGGCATCCATTATGTTAGCTATTCCTATCAGCTTCATATTATATTTACAAATTTAATATGCATGCCTCCTATAATAATAGCAATAATAATAGATACTATTGTAAGTAAACATTTCTATAGCTCTAACTATGTGCCAGTCATAAGCACTTTATAATTATCTCATTTAATCCTCACAACAACCTGGGAAGGTAGGTGCTATTAATAGCTCCATTTTACAGATGAGAAATCTGCAGCAAACAGAAGTTAAGTGACTTGTTCAGGGTCATACAGCTAGTAAGCATTTTAGACTGTATTTGAACTCTGGTCTTACTAACTCCAGAGTGAGCACTCTACCTACTGCGCCACCACCAGCTGCCCCATTGATTTAAAACATTGACTAGGATCAAGGACATATCTCTATGGTGCTGCACTAGAAACCTCCCCCAAAATGCTCTTTGGACCTGGCATTCAGCCAGTTCTGAATCCTCCTGACAATACTAGTACATTTCCATCTCATTTCCAAGAGTAGCATAACAAATTTTGCTAAAAATTTAAATATATTACGTTACTAGCATTTGCCTGATACATTTATCTATCAAAAAAAAAGGTAATGTGGTTAATCCAGTATGATCTGTTCTCAATTAAGCCGTGATAGATTTTAGGGATATCCTCTTCCCTTTCTAACTTCTCACAAACTATCCCTTTAATAATGTGTTCTAGAATTTTGCCTAAAATGGAAATCAAGCTTACTGACTTTGAATGTTTAGATTTCATTCTTTATTTTTTTAAAAAATTGGAACATTTGTTCTTCACCATCCAGCAACACTTTTTCCTCCATCATCTTTCAGAGATTGACGTTAGCCCAGCAATTACCTTTGCTGTTTCTTTCAATATCCTAGGATACTTTTTCTCTCATCCTGGTGACTTGAAAACACTGAAGGTAACTAGATATATGTTATCTTAGCATACCTTCTCTTATCTTGAATTTCTGTACTGTCTTCACCATTTTTGCTCCAGTCTTCATAGTGCAACCATTAGTCTACTTTGAGAGAGAGGGAAGGACAGAAGTAAAATGAGAGCTGAGTAGGGTGGCCTCCTCATCACTGTCAGCCATTATCATTATTACATGCAACCCAAATATCATGTTCTTCCTCTGCTTAGAATACTTTAGTAGTTCCCTATCACTCTCTAAATAAAGTCCTAACTTTTTAGACTAACTCAAGGCTTTCTCCAGCCTGAGGACTCCATGACCTTTTTAGCTTTACCTCATACTATTCCTCTCCATGTTTGCTATGGTGAAGTCAGCTGTCATATTTGAATTTTCTTATATAATCAAACACTTATCTATCAAAGATGCCCAGTACCATCATTCATGTGCAGAGTTTTCCTGTTTTGTGCCTTTACTCATAGCAATTCCTATGCCTGGAATCCCTCACCTCCCTCCCATCTCTTTCTATTGTGTACTTCTTATGTTTCATCATTTTCTAATATTGTGTTATTGTATATTATATTTATACAGCCTTTAGACTGTGAGTCCCATGTGGACAGAGACTTTATTATCTTTACTTCTCCCCCATTGTCTAACTTCTTCCCTCTTTCCATTGCTCTCTTCCTTCTCTCTTCACTTTTAAACACCACCAGTATACATACAAAGCACTGTTAAACATCCATTCTCCCTCATCCCATCTATCCACTCAGTTGCTAAGTCTTGTGGGTTCTACTTGCACAATATCTCTTGCATCTGTTCTCCTCTCTGCACTCACATAGCCACCTCTCTAGATCAGATCTTCATCACCTCTGACCTGGGCTATTACAATAGCTGCCTAATATGTGGGGAAAGGATTAGATTTGCCCTTCTCAACCCCAGAAGCCAAAACCAGGAGAAAAGAAGTAAAGACGAAAAATTCTGTGTCAGGGAAAAAAAAAAACCTTTGAACAATTAGAGCTTTCCAAAGTGGAATGGAATGAACTGCCTCAAGAGGTATTGGATGCTCTTCCTTTGAAACCTTCAAGCAAAGATTTCAGGACCACTTCTCATGTATGTCATAGTGGAAATTCCTTTTGGGTATGGGTTGTACCTTATGGCTACTGAGGTACCTTCTAACTTAAATTCCATGATTCTGTGAAGCCTTTCTATCTGATACACCTAACAAAGTCATTTTGCTCAAGCTCAGGTTTCACACATCATTGTCTCACGCAGAAAACACCAATGACTCATTATTACCTCTAGGACCAATTAGATATCCACAAGAAGGGTCTAGTTAACCTCAACATCTAAATGAAGAAACATCACTTAATTAGAACATTGCTATTAAATGCAACAGATGGTATCTTTACTACAGTAATCTTTGCTACCTGGGTTCTGGGGTCCAGGATTTAGAGGTCTTGGCTTTCTTGGTTTTGTTTTTTTTTTTAATTCAATTCAATAAACATTTATTTAGCACCTACTCTGATGTTTCTGCCAAATCACCTACTTGAATAGAAATAACAAGTGAACAAATATTACCATACCTAAACCTTTGATGCCTGAACACATTTTGTGAATTTATGTGGCGATTCAAATATGCTGCCTTTTATCATGGCTAATAAATGTGTTTCACCATTATAAAAAAGAGAAATTAAAGGAAAGAGCCAATTAGATTCTCATAAATTCTTTGAGGTTAGAGACTGAGTCTTGCCCTTACCTGAATCACTCCATGCCTCAATAGCACCTAACACAGTACTTTGCCTATGGCTAGATACTCAATAAATATTTGTTAAATTTGTTGAATGAATGATCTGTGGGAATCCCCCTCTGAACAGCAACACCCATTGGAAGAGCCAGTAGACTTCCTGTCATTAGAGAATAATCTTCCAAGCCATAGTTCCCTACGGTAATGAATCTTGGCTTATACATCTTAGGAGGTCATCCCTACAGTGCCCAGCAGTGTGCCTTACATAACATAGGCCTAATAAACATTCACTGATTAAATGAATGAATGACACAATAGTCAGTGAGATATTTGGGCCTGCTGATTTTTTTTTCATACTTCTTTTCCAGTGGTTTGGAGTCAAATATTGAACCTATAAAGAGTGGTGGTTAAGGACATTTGCCAATATTATCCAAATATTTAAACCACTCAACAAACCCAGACCACTATTTTTCAGGATTCATTTAATAATAATCAGTTATTTTATCATCATTGTCACCACATAGCACTTAATGTGTTTCAAAGCACTTTTTGAAGTCTCATTAGATTCTTCTATTAATACCCAGGGAGGGATAGGAAGAGATGACTTCTATATACAGAGTAACCTTTAATGATAAGTAGATAAGAGGGGGAAAGTATCTCCCTGAAAACAGAGAGAGAAAAGCTTTGCATTTTGGAAAACTGTTGATCAAGTTTTACCCAAAGTAGTGTTAGACTGTTGCTTTTAGCATCCAGTGATGGCTAGGATAATGAATATATGGCTTTTAGTCATTAATATTTGTTTTTAATTAATATGATTGGCTTACAAAGACAAATAATATTCATCAACAGAATCCATCTTTAATATGTATCTGGTGCATGGAGTGAACAATAGACTGTTAAAGCATGGTGATAAAAACAGTCAGGGTCAAATATTATTTGCATGGGCTTTTTAACTTGCATTTTGCAGGCAAAATATATGCTTGCTGCTGTGGGCCTTTGAATTTCATTTTGTGCAAATGTTCATATTGTTTTATTTTCTTTCGTTATTTCCTTACAGTGAAGAACATTCCTTGCCACCATCCGAATAGATCACTGATTCTTCTCCAACACATCCAGGGGAGGCTGCAGTTTTTTAAAGCATTTGTCTTTTCACTTCCACATGAGCAAAACCAAATCCTGGAGAATAACCTGCAATTGCTTTTCTTATGAATATTAACTTTCTGTAACCAAAATTTATGTAAAGACTTGCCTCTGAAATTTTTCTTTTTGGACAGAAACTGCAAATATTTAGTAGAAAGAAATGCCCAAGGAAGCTACATTGTGCAGGATTTAATCCTGAAATATCTGAATGAGCCTGTGTTTAAACCTGAAGTAAAAAACTTATTTTTATTTTAATTTGTAGGAAAAGCCTGACGGCAGCCCAGTATTTATTGCCTTCCGATCCTCTACGAGAAAAAATGTGCAATATGATGAAGTACCCGAATACAAAGACAGATTAAGCCTCTCGGAAAACTACACCTTATCCATCAGTCATGCGAGGATCAGTGATGAAAAGAGATTCGTGTGCATGCTAGTTACAGAGGACAATGTGTTCGAGGCCCCGACGGTAGTCAAGGTGTTTAGTAAGTAGCCTCTGCTGTAACTGTTAAATGGGATCAATAGCGATGACCAGAAAAAATTTTGCTTAGGACAATGACTGAGCTATCTGCCTTGTCTCTCTAACCAGCCTCTGTGTGACAGACCTAGAAATCTTCATTCTGCTCATGTGTACGGTTGGCATGGAATACAGGCAGCCTGAAATTCAAACAGTAGAGTTACAGTGGGAAGCCAAGAAATGTCTGTTGCTCTGCCTTGTAAATTTTCCATGTGATAAGAGATTTTACTGAATAATTGACTAAACCTCTGTATTTGGAATTTGATTGACCTTACAAATAAAGGCCTGGCACATGTTGGGGTTTTTTTTGGGGGGGGGGTTCAATTTTTTTTACATTGAAAACTTAAAGTCTTTCCTAGTGTTTCATATACACATATACATATATGTATATGCATATGCATATACATATATGTGTGTATATATATGTGTGTGTGTGTGTGTGTGTGTGTGTGTGTATATATATATATATACATATACATATATATATATATATATATATATATGTATATTTAGTGATTCTTACCCTGTTCAGGGGGAATTCATCAGTTTTAGATGTTTAGAGATCAGAAAATAGCTTCTCTAGGCATGGGAGAGGAATAGCTTTGAGCCTGAATGACTGTGTGGGAGGGAGCAGGTGATTAAAATAAGAGGTAGGCAGGGGAAAGAAACTTGGAAAGAACAAAAAGTCAGAAAATTACAGTAGTCACAATCACAAAATTAGTTTGCCTAATGATAATATATGGCTGGTGTTACGATGCGAATGGCCCTGACAAGGAAGTTACTGGAGAGGTCCTAATTAAAGCAATGCAGCTCCTCAAATGCAAGTAAAAACACCCCACCTCAATTACATCAAAGAGTTTCAGAAATTAGAGAACAGAGACTTCCAACATTACTGTATGACAAACAGAGGCCTTTAAAAATTAAGTAATCAAACCTTCACTTAACTTTTTTTTTCTTGCATTCTGATACTTCAGCCACACCTAGAAATTATTACAGAAAGCAAAACACATGACTCTCTAACCTAAAATATGTATAGTAATAGTATGTGTAACTAGGCAGGGATTTCCCTAGATACTTGTATCAACTTCAAAGTTTCTTCCTTAGGGTGGGATTCAAAGAATGCTTAAAGATCCAGGGAAACTTTTGTACTCTTAGAAAGAGCCTCTAAAAATAAGTCCATATTTCCATTGATTGCCTTTCAGCTTCCAAAGCCTTTTTCAAAGTGTCAGCCAAGAGTCCTGTCAAACAGTTTTATGAATCAAATAACTAAGTGTTCATCCGTCATGGTCTCCCCCACTTTGTGTCCCAAATGATATTAAGCTACACATCCATTTGCCAATGGATGCCTTGCTCATAGTCAGGACCAGTGATTTAAGAATTACTGTGCTAAAGGCACACTTAAAAGCAACCACTTGGAATGAAGCAATAAAAACTATTATGATTATTGGTCCTAATATTATCAATATAAGCAGATACAGAGGGTGAGCAATGGTAGAGACAAAGTTAAACTCACAGAAATGCAGTATTTGTGTGAATATTTTCACTTGTAGAATCTAAACTAAGTAGTTAGTGTTTTGTTTTATGTCTTTGCTTTATTTTTAACATGGTGAAAGCATGTCAAGATAGTAAGAAGAGAAATGATGAACTAATCTGTATTTTTGGATTTGTAAGGATTGATTAAGATGCCATTTAGCTGTGAGGTTTTGTTTTTTTTTTTTAGTCTGGGTAAGGGGAGAGGAGGGTGATATAGAGCTACCCAGGGAAATTTCAGTTGGTCTGTTTCAATAAAATCTGCAAGCTGCTTTAGAGCACAGAGGATTTCTATGATTGTGAAAACAAACTTCCCCCACCTCCCCTGAATGTTGTTGAAAACAAAGTAACTCTCAGAAACAGAATCTGCATTCCAGGCTTTGGGCCAGGGAGAATTTAAATAGACAAAGTGACACTCTTAGAAATGGTATTTTTTGTACAAGAAACCGTGAGACCCTCCAAGTCTGACAGAATGAAGTGAACAACTCATGATAAAGACAATGTTTGAAAAAGCATATACAATCTTGACTTTTTTAAAAAAATGTATTTACTTTGGGTCATATTGGTAAAGCCAACAGCAGCTGTGACAAGGATGCTTTTATGTTATGCAGTGTCTATATTGTAGTCGTCTAACAGTAACCAGCTCCATCAATCAGCCCTCTGTTTCCCTCTGTTGAGTCACCTAGCAACACACATAGGGTAGCACACAGTTGAATATGGCTAATGAGAACCAATCACAGAGCAACCTACTGCAGATTACCATACACATGGGCTCGAATAAAACATGTGTTCCAACTAGTGGCCAAGGCTAATAACTCTATAATGAGTGGTTCAGGTTTTGTTTTTAAATGTAACTTGCAAAGTAGAAAATCATACCAATAAACAGTCACAGATTCAAAAAAATACACCATTTTTTAAAAACCATAACCACAGAATTTTAGTAACTGAAACTAATCAGCATCAAAGAGTGGTTGTATTGAGCATAGACTTGGGGTTAATGAAGTCATCCAGTAGAAAAGAAAAAAAAAGACAGTTTGCTTTTGAACTTGGAGTGGGAGACACATGCAAATATTCTGCCCTGAGATTACACAAAGAGCATAGAATTCAAATGTTGCCTCTGTGGAAGAGGCAGCTTGGTCTAATGAAAGGAACCTTGAATTCTAGTCATCTCTTTAACTCCCTTATTTGTGATTGTAGGCAAGTCAGTAACCTCCCAGAGGTCTAAAATGCCTCATTTGTAAAATGGGGAAGGAATTGTATTGAATTATTTCAGGGTCTCTTTCAACAGTGAGATTCTATGACCTTTGGTGAGGAAAAAAAGAATTCGCTTTGTATACCTATGGATATGAAAAGTAATCCTTCATAAGGTAATGTTGGCTGCATTCCACAGGCAGTCCAGAGCCCCTTCGTCATCTAATTTCTTTTTTCAAGCTGATCTTAATATCCTTTCATAATTAGATTATGGTTGTCCACTCAAAGTATGAATAGCATTGTTATGTTTTAGGTCCCCTAGTTAAGTTGGGTGCCTGTCACTGTTTGGCCTTTTAATCTTTGTGATTTGTGAAGCAAATGAGGCTACAGTTTATCATGGTCTTTACTCTGCCCATCCTCTGCAAAAGTTCACATCTCATCATGATGATGTACCTGTGTTCTCACCAATAGCTGTGGTTATTTCTCATCCTTGGGAGTTTTATAAGAGGATAACACTCAGATGTGGGCCAGATTTAGGAAGACCTGAGTTCAAATCCAGGCCCAGACATTACTAGCAGTATGATCTCAGGCATGTGACTTAAATTATGTTTGCCTCATTTTCTTTACCTGTAAGAAAGGGACAGTAATAGCACCTAGCTCCCAGGGTGGTTGTGAGGAACAAATGAGGTATCTGTAATGTGCTTAGCACAGTGACTGGTACATACTAGTTACTATGTAAAAGCTAGTTATTATTATTATTAAGCTTTGAACGATAATGAAATGCAAATTTTACAGTAGCCTGTGTGTCCGCCCCTTCTCCTCTTCACCCTTTCCCCTGATATGTACTCATATTATGAACTTACTGGGTTGAGCTACCTTGGAACATGACTTTTTAAAATATTTTTTCAATTAACAAACATTTATTTCTTCTCCTTTCAACCTCCTGCTTACCGTTGAAAGCAAAAACAAAATCCTTGTAACACATGTGTACATGTATGGTCAAGCAAAACAAATTCCCACTTCGGCTGTGTCCAAAAATATATGAACTGATGCAGAATGAAGTGAAGAGACAGGAAATAGTAACACCATTGTCAAAGCAAGCAATTTAGAAAGACTTAAGAATTCTGATCAATATGAGGACCAGCCATAATTCCAGATTACTAGTGATGAAGAATATGATTTTTTTAAACCAACATTGGTAAATGTGAGTGAGACAAAGATAATTTTGCATTAAGTATTTCATCCTCCTTCCAACTAAGTCCTACTGTGGTGCTTCATTATGCCAACACAGTGCAAATCTGGCAGATCCTATAATGAGCCGGAAAGAATTCAAGAATGGTCCTCGGTCTATTGTCTGACCACCAACTTGTGGAGTTTTGGTTTGTTTGGTTGGTTTTTTTTTAACTTGGCAAGTTGGTTGGTTGCTGTCCTTTGTTCTCAAAGAGGACAAAATGACATCACTATGTTGGGGTCGAGGTACATGTGTCCAACTGTGGCTGATCAGACTAGTATGAGCTCAGAAGGCTCTACCACAGATTGGGCACCAATAGTCCAACATTTGGAGGAGAGATGTCTCTGAATTTGTACATCTCACGTTTCTTTTGAGCTACTGCAATTCTGCTTTGGTCATAGAGCACAGTGCCTTCTCTGATGTAAAGATGCATACTGGGTGGTCCTGTGCCAGCGTCAACTATGTCACATAGTTAATTCCAAAGTTCTTCACAGAGGCCTTGAGAGTCCTTGTATTGCTTCTTCTGACCTCCATGTGACCGTTTGCCTCGCATGAGTTCTCCATAAAATAGTTTTTAGGCAAACCTCTACTAAGGTATGTAATATCTTAGTACTAAGGTATGGAGAGGTATTGATCTCTATGGGTGAAGGAAATGCCAACATTGATGAAATCATGGATATTTCACCATTATTTGGCCATGATAAATCTCAAAATGAAAATAAGGATGAAGGATGCAGGGTGCCAACTTCCATATTCCTTCACAGGTGGTTCCTGAAAAGGCGAGATGGTGTGCTAGATCTAACAAGGGAAACCAGAGCCCCTCCATACTCAAAACTCTTTTCATCAATGTTCCTTGTGACATGGTTCATGTGGGCCTTAAGTCTGAAAAGATTGCCTTGGTCACAACTGCCTCTATGTATGGCAGAGTTTTGAGTAAATGGGAGGCTGTACCCTCAGAAATTGGGACCAGACAGCTTTCTGTGTTGGGAGGCTGTTTGTAAAGGGTAAATGATGAA